GTTTGATAGTTTGCAACTGATAATTCCTTTTGTAGCAAAGGATATGCTAATGAGCTTACAACTACATTATCCATTTAAGGAAGCTTTATAATTAATTTGTTAATGATTCTTTCAAACGACTCTCTTGTGTTTCAAGATTTCTCTAACGACTCTTTCATGCTACTTTATAAAAGGTACTTAAGATTTGGAGAAATACACAACAATGCGTCTTGACAAGAAAATATAAGTTACTCTATCAAAACAAAGAACACAAGCTACCTTAGAACTACTTACCGTTGTACATTCTTAGAAATTCCTAAGTTTTTGAGTTTTGTGTGTTGTAATTTTTTTACACCAATGATTGAATATCAAGTGTAATTATCACTCTATCACTATCATTTATTTGTTAGATATATTTTTATAAGTATATTTCTTGTATGCTTTAGCATTGGTGATAGTCTCTTGCTTGTGTGCTTGAGCATATGTGAAGTCTCTTTCTTGTGTGCTTGACAAATCAAAAGTCTCTTGCTTGTGTGCATGAGCATTGAAGTCCTTGTGTCTCTGGGTGTTGGACGTCTCTTGCTTGTATGCTTGAAAAAGTTGTAATCAGATTCAGTTATAGTGAAAATCTCTTAGAAGTGCAAAGGGACATGACTACTCCTGATTTGTTGGAGGAACCAGAATAAATTTCTTGTGTGTTGTCTTGCCTTATTCTTTACTTCAACTTTATTTTTCCCCTGTTTACCATCAGATTCTGATCCATCAGAATATGATAACAAATCTCAAGAAAAAACAGAAAAAGTCAACATAATTTAACCTCCTCTTATTGTGTTTTTCTCACCTTAAGTTGGCTTTAGAGCACGGTCTGTGCATCAACACTTAAAAGTGGCACATAAAAGATCTTAAGAGAAAAACATCATGCCTGAATTTGAAGTTATTCACAATGTTGGAACCAATACATATAAGAAGAAAAATAATATTTCCAAACGTTAATCTTTTAATGGATATTCTATTGAGTTTGAGTGATGGAAAAGCAAGATGTACACTGACATCATAGGTCTTGATTATGAGTTACGGGATATTCTTAAAGATGGTATTAATTTGGATGTTGATGGTGTAAGTGTGGTGGCTGGTAGAAAGAGCCTCACACATGACCAAAAAAATATATACATAAAACATCATAGTCAGAGGAATCTTGATAGATGCTCTACCTCACTCCGAGTATCTCAAGATTCTATACAAATCAACTATTAAATCTATCTTCAAATCTCTATGTACTTCTTATAAATGAAACTAACAAGTTAAATAAGCCTAAGCAAATATTTTGATTCACAATATGAGTTATTCAAAATGAAGGAGGATGAAAACATTGAAACCATCTTCTCTAGGTTTCAAGTTCTTATATTCGATCTTCAAGTGTTGAAGAAATGTTATACCACAGCTGATAATGTCAACAAGATTTTAAGAATTCTTTCTTCTAAGTATAAACCTAAGGTGTCTGCTATCAAAAATCTAGAGACTTAAACATCATAAGTCTAGAAAGCTTGATTGGCAATCTCCAGAGTCATGAGATTAATCTGGTTGGAAATGAACCTGCTCATAAATCAAAGTCTCTTGATTTAAAGTCTGTGGATCATAATGATAAATCTTCACTAATGAGGAGTTCTGAAGGTGAATCAAAAGATGAAGAAATGTCATTTTTAGTCAAAATATTTCAATATTTGCCCAACAAGAAGAATATAAGGTTCTAAAGCAGAGACAATGGCTTCATAGGAACAAGCTCCAAAATCAACAAAGATGATCAGAAATAATGCTTCAATTGTAAAAAGTCTGGTAACTTTATTGCTAAATGCCCAGAGCTATTAAAGAACCAGCCAAAGAAAGGAGCTTTCAGAAGAACAACTTCAGAAACAAGGTCAAGAAAAGTCTTACGACAACATTGAATAAACTTGATAAAGAATAAGAATCTGAAAAAGATGAGGAATAACCTAATCTGGATTTTATGGCTTCAACATCTTCAGACACATAATCGGACTCAAGTTCTAGCTCAGATTATGAAGAAGAAACTAAGATATGCTTAAAAGGAGGAGAAAACTAGTAGTCGTGGTACCCGGATAGTGGTTGCTCATGACATATGATGGGAAGAAAGTATATGTTCTAAACCCTCACTTTGACTCACTCTGAATGAGGGACTCCGAGTGAGGAAATGTGGGATTTAGTGAAAACTAGAAAGGCGAGATCATTAGCATGTGTACTATTGGTAACTCATCTATCTCTATCAATAATATGTGGCTTGTAGATGGACTAAAACATAACCTACTGAGCATAAGTCAATTTGTGATAGTGGTTATGAAGTAGTGTTTAATAAGAATATATGTATAGTTGTTAATGATTCTGACAAGTTCATAGTGTTTAAATGAAAGAGGAAGGGCAATGTTTATAAAATCATTTTTTATGAATTGGGTGATCAAAGTATGATTTTCCTTCTATCATGAGTGATGAAAAATGGATCTGTCACAGAAGGTTAGGTCATGCTAACTAGAGATTAATTTCTAAACTTACCAATTTAAAACCTGTTAATGGTTTGCCAGACCCTAATTATCACTCATATGCTCTTTGTAAAGTATATCAAGTAGGAAAAGTTATTAAAACCTCTTTTAAACCTAAGAAAATTGTTTCTACCTCTAGACACATAGAGCTGCTTCACGTTGATTTGTTTGGTCATGTTAATACTGCATCAATAAATGGGAAGAAATATTGGCTAGTCATAGTGGGTGACTACAACAGACGTACTTGGGTTAAATTCCTTAAATCCAAAGATGAATCATATGATGTGTTTAGCATCTTCTACATACAAGTACAAAGTGAAAAGGATTCAAAAAACATGAAGATCAAAAGTGATCATGAATGAGAATTTGAAAATGAGCCATTAGAAACTTTTTTTTTGAAAAACATGGAATTATCCATGATTCTCTTCTCCTAGAACTCCATAACAAAATGGAATTGTAGAGAGAAAGAACATATATATGAGATATTATGGGTGGATTGTGGCAATGTAAGAAGAGCTAAACCAGATTCAGAGGAATGATGTTTGGGATCTGGTACCTAAACCTCACCAGAAAAACATTATTGGAAAAAAAATGGGTCTTTAGAAACATGGTCAACGAACAAGGACAAACAATAATAAATAAAGCTAAACTGATCGCTTAAGGTTACAATCAATAAGTAGGTATACATTTATCAGAAACCTTCGCACATGTTGCAAGGTTAGAGGAAATCACACTACTTCTTTCCTATGTTATTAACCATAATATTATTTTATATCAAATGGATGTCAAGAGTGCTTTCTTGAATAGTGTGATTTCTGAAGAAGTGCATGTCAAACAACCTCTTATATTTGAGGATTCTATCCATCCATATTATGTTCTCAAGCTTAAGAAATATATTATGGAGTCAAACAAGCTCCCAGAGCTTGGTATGAAAGATTGAGTAATTTTTTGATAGAAAATGGTTTTAAAAAGGGGCAGGTTGATACTACACTTTTCAAGAAGACACTAAAGAATGAAGAATTGATTGTTCATGTGTATGTAGATTATATTATCTTTGGTTCTACTAATGCTACTCTTTGCAAAGAATTTTCCAAGACTATATAGGATGAATTCGAAATGAGCGTGATGGGAGAGTTGATGTTCTTTCTTTTAATTCAAATAAACTAGTGCAAAGATGGAGTTTATGTTTATCAAACAAAATATACAAAAGAGCTTCTGAAGAAGTTCAAGCTTGATGGATACAAAATCATGATAACTCCAATGCATCCAACCTGCAATTGGAGGAAAGGGGAAAACAACACAAAATTTTATCAGAACTTGTATAGATGCATGATTGTTATTTACTTTACCTAACAACTTCTAGACCTAATATTTTATTCAGTGTCTATTTGTGTGCAAGATTCCAAACAGATCCTAGAGAAACTCATTTAATAGTTTTTAAGAGGATCTTTTGGTATCTTAAAGGAACAACTAATTTATTGCTACTATATAATAAGTCCTTAGACTATAAGTTTGTTGGATTATGAAATGCTAACTATGTTAGGGATATAATTAACAAAATTCCACTAGTGGAGGTTGTTAAATCATAGGTGAAAACTTATATCTTGGGCTAGTAAAATATAAGTAACTATTTCTTTGTCCACATCAGAAGCTAAACACATCTTAGCTGCTAGTTGTTCCACTCAATTACTCTAGATGAAGTATCAGTTAGAGGATTATTAGATTTGTGAAAGAAATATACCTATCATCTGTGATAATAAGGTTTCTATCTGTTTGACAAAGAATCCAGTTCAACATTCTAAAACCAAGCACATTGCAATCAAGCATCATTTCATTAGAGATTATGTTTAGAAATGTGTAATAGATATTCAATTCTTTAGTACAAATCATCAATGGGCTGATATATTTACTAAAACAGTTACTATTATGAACATGCATTTTATTGAAGATTAGTGTTGGTTTCTGAATGAAGGATCGGAGTCAGATGATGATTAGAAGATACTGGATCATAAGCTCTAAAACAACTTTTGATGAACATTAGACTCTGAAGCATCTCGGCCTCTGAACCTTAGAACTTTCTTATTTATTTTTGATAGCATGTAAGTGGAATATTTTTATTTGTAATATATTCTAACCACTTATATGTCACTTGTTTCAATGGTCCTTAAAACTGTTCTTGTATGATATCTGTTGGATTCTTAATATTCTCCATATTCTGCTAAATTTACTCATCCAAAGAGCTATATTAACTAGAGATTTAGTATTTTATGATAAAATTAAAACATGTCTTTAGTATCCCTTGTCTTTAGTTGGTTCTCAATGTTTTGGCTAAAATTGTGATTAAAACAAAGACTGTTAAAGACTAAAGAGCATTTTAATAAGAAGAGATAAGAACATAATTTGTTTTATTGGTTAAAGAAAATTAGTACATGATTCAAAATTGAGATCTAAAAGACTTATAGTTTACTCTCTTCAGGCATGGTCCTCGTCATTCTTATAAGTATTGAGATATTCTATATAGTCCATATCAACATCTGAATCATACTCAACTTTTTCATCAGGTTCTTTCTTCCTTGAAGATTTCTTCATTGTTGCCTCTGAAGTTTTCCCTCTCTTAGACGATGTTGTTGACATGCTTGAACCTTCACAATCTATAATAGTCTTGGCTTTTGTAGCTTCAACAGATCGGAGCTTATCTCCCCTCTCATGTTTCTTCTTGATTTTGCTAACTTCATTAGTTAAATATCTTCTCAAGTTCTTGTTTTGCTTTGGCTAGCCCATTATGCTTGATAAATAAAAGTATGGAAGAAGGAAGATATGATCTTGCTGATAATGCAAAGCCATGATTTATAGAAAGAAAAGGATATTGCATGGTTAAGTTTCAATCTTTGTCCACCAATAGTTACAGGAGAGAGAGGTTGGTATTTGTCTTTATGCATAACTTTTCAATTTCTGATCATATGCTCAGTTGTCAGAATCATAGTTTGGCCATATTGAAACTTGAAAGATGCTTTTTATCACTTTAACTAGCCAAACCTTTTTCAGAACTAAATTGGACTAAGGGAGTGTAAGACTATTTTTAACCTATTTTTATTCAGAATAACTTAAATTCCATACTTATTTTACTCTTCAGTCTCTTTTATATTATTTCCTATCTTTTTGTTGATGACAAAAAGCAGAGGAGAAGGATAAGTATTTTAGCATTTGAACCTGATTATTTTAAATTTGTCCATGCTTAATTATGAATATTTGTTCTATTGTGCTTCAATGAAAATTTTAATTAAATAGGATAGGACCAAGGGGGAGCTTACAAACATCACCCTTAGATTTTTCTTAATTAAGGGGAGCTTACAAACCTCACCCTTAGGACTATCAGACTCGGGAGGGAGCTTACTAACTTTAGACCTTGAAGTCATATTTTTAATTAAATTATCAACCAATGTTCTTAAGTACTTGTATTTTTCATCATAAAAAAGAGGGTGATTGTTGGAAAAAAATTGGTGTGTATATATCCTTTAGGTTCTGAAGAAAAATTGGGTAGACTAATATGTGTTCAAGTGTGTAGGTACAAAGATCAATGTACTGATTGAATATCAGTTCTGAAACTGCATTGAACATTGAAAGAAAAGCTTTCTTAGAGGAAGATTTAAAAGATAAGATTGTGAAGGTGATTAAAATATGATGTCTCTAGAGTCTGAGCAAGCCAGCCTCTGAAGAGTCAAAGTGTAAAGTCATCAGAAGCCAAGAATCAAACTCTAAAAGACTAGAACTTGAACCCAATCAAACTCAAGAACCGATATTGTCTAGACACGTCACTATCATACTCTAAGGTCAATTTTTATAGTTCAGATCACGTGATATCTCAACAGAAAGTTACAAAAGCATGATCATTTGTAACTGATAATTCCTTTTGTAGTGAAGGAAATTCAAATGAGTTTACAACGACATTATCCATTTGAGGTAGTTTTGCAACAAATCTGTTGATGCTTATCTACTATGTCACTCTTGTGCTTGAAGATTTCTCTAATGACTCTTTTAGGGTAATTTATAAAAGGAGTTGGAGATTTGGATAAACACACAACATTGAACCCTGACAAGAAAAAGGAAGTTACTCTGTCAAAACAAAGAGCACATGTTAGCTTAGAACTTCTTACCATTGTACATTCTTAGAAGTTCTTTAGTCCTAGAGTTTTCTGTGTTGTAATCTCTTTACACCTCTCATTTAATATCAAATGTAACTATCACTCTATAACTATCATTTATTTATTAGATATATTATTAGAAGTCTCTTACTTGTGTGGTTGAGCATTGGTGAAAGTCTCTTGCTTGTATGCTTGAGCATCTATAAAGTATGTTGTTTGTGTGCTTGAGCAATCGAAAGTCTCTTGCTTGTGTACATGAGCATTGATGTTACTTACTTGCATGTTTGTGCATTGGAAGTCTCTTGTTATGTGTTTGAGAAAATTACAATAGGATTCACTTATAGCGAAATTCTCTTGAAAGTGCAAAGAGACAGGACTAATCCTGATTTGTAGGAGGAACCATGATAAATTGCTTGAGTGTTATCTTTCCTTATTCTTTATTTCTGCTTTAGTTTTTCTGCTGCTATCCATCCAATTCTGATTCAAATTCCGAATCGTTAGAATATGATAACAGAGATTAAGAAAAAACATAAAAGTCATCACAATTTAACCCTCTTCTTGTGTTTTTCTCACCTTTAAAATGATATTACGATTGACTAATGGGAGCCACGTCCAAATTATTATGACGCTAGGAAACAAGCTAGTATTTGGCCTTATTGCCTAAGAATTATGGGAAACTATTCCGAACTAAGCCAAGACCTAATCATCATGATATTAGGTCACCAAGGCTAAAGAGATAAAGCATACGATAATATTATTACACCCCCTTATCAACTCAACTGACCAAGGCTGGCAACCCTTTGATAATAATCAAATAATAGAGTCAACAAGATCCTTCTACGCTTACTCTCTGAGGCACAATTGTTCCCAAATAATATTCTAGAACATATGAACCAAGAGATAGCCACACCCTTGTAGTATACATAATCAGGGATGGTTAGTTTGTGTTAGGTCGTCAGATGATAGAACCAACGAGATCTAATAACATTTATAATCTAAGACAAGTGTCCTCAAGATGTCTACTATAAAATTTAAAGAAATATACACACACTATTTTAAATCATAAACCTCACATTTACTGTCAGAATTGACTTAATCATTATAGTATATATAGGTGCACCACCCCCTCATCAAACACAATATATCAATGACCGTCAATACTAAAATTTATCATCCAATTATCATCAACACTTAAAGATAAAGATCTTTTCGAATCAATTTTCGGTCACCTTCACCACCCCATACACTACGCCAAAACAAAGGTTAGACAACGTAGTTTAAATAGCGCTTGTAAATCAAAGCGCTGCTATATGTCACAATATCATTTTAAATTTTTAATAATATATATTAGACAACACTTTTGAAAAAAGAACTGCCTAAAGGTAAGAAAAAGCATTGCCTAAGCCTCACTTTAGGCAACACTTTATGGAAGCGCTGCTAAATATCAGGATAAAATTTTAAATTTTAAATCATAAATATTAGACAACGCTTTAAAATAAAGCACTGCCTAAAGTTAAGAAAAAGTGCTGCCTAATCCTCACTTTAGTTAACGCTTTATAAAAAGCGCTGCCTAAAGTCAATTAAAATTGAAATAAAAAATAAATTCTAGAAGCGCTGCCTAAACTCAAAGCATTGCTATAGGCCCAACAATAGGAAGCGCTGTTATAGGCCCAAAGCGCTGGTAAAGGCTTATTTTAGAAAGTGTTGTTATAGCCTAATAAGAAATTTGAGACAAAGCGCTGCTAAAAGGCCTACTTTAGAAAGCGCTTTTAAGAAGCGCTGCTTAAGGTCATAAGCACTGCTATAGGGCATACATCAGAAAGGGATTTCATTTAGAAAACGCTGCTAAAGGGAATACATTAGGCAGCGCTTTATAAAAAGCACTGTCTATCGGGCTTATTAAAATAAAGAAATTATGAGTTTAATCACCAATAATTTATTTCACTATGCATATGAATTTCAGGAGAGTCTATCTCAATCTTTAACTCAAGCTGAAGACCATGATTGCAGGAGCATACTTAGTCGGGTATTAAATGTTCCCGAGTATACCGATCGTGTGAGGGGTAAGGGATTCAGAGTGACTTAAACATCTCTGGGTAACCATAAAAATAGGAAAGGTCATATCAATAAAGAAGTGATGGAAGAGTTAGAAAAATTAAAAGCTAAAGTTCGTGAGCTGGAAAAGGACAAAGAAAAATACATGTCAGAAAGGCAAGGTCCATGGTTCAAGGATACTAGTGACAAAGATAATATCAATTGTGATTTCCAACAAAAAATTCCCGAGGTAATATATATTATTATGAATTAGCACAATTTTTTTAATTGACATATATACACATTAACAATTTCATATTTATTAATGTGTTTAGGGCCTTTCACATTGTCAGCTATATTTATCGTCACCGACTTATCACATGGTTGGCAAGGGAAAAAATGCATAACACTTTGGGAGAAGTACTTCACCATAAACAGCTCCCTGCTGGATTTATGAAAGTATCAATTGATATTGCTTTAGAGAGGGATGCACCATTACTTTTGCCTGACGATATTTCAGATGCAATATTGGTGGGAGAGGCAATATGATCGTATGTTGCATGGCCGTCAAACCTCATTTTCATAGATGAGGAGGTATGTTTTAAACCATTATGAACCTTTGAGTATTAAAATTTTTTATGACCATTTAACGTACATTTTTTACATGGTAATGTTAGACTCCCATAAAATCCAAATCAAAAGATAAGAGGATTAAGAAGCAAACCGAGTCAGTTGCATCAAAAAAAGAGGTATAACATAATTATATGATATTTATGCATATAATGATCTTATACTTCACCTAACTAATTAAATGATATTTAGATGCATGCTAAAGAGATTGGGCAAGTCAGTAGGGGTAAGAAGATCGCGGCTAGCAAAAAACCTACTTCTCAGTATAGGTCATGCCTTCAGACATATATAAGAATAACAGATATTCCAATTGGTGGTACTCATCTTATACCTATGAAGACAGAAATTTTTGGTTATGAATACATGGAAGAAATTGGTAGAGAAGATATTGATCAAGTTTTACAACATTGTACGTTAGGCCTCGATGTTATCGATACATACATCAGGTATACTCCGATCAACTTTGTTTAATTAAATGAACAATTAATTTACTAATTTCAATGAATATAGTCTAATTTTAATGATGTTTTTATTTAATGTTTTTGTATGACAAAGTGATGCGCCCACGTGGATTGGAAGAAAGATTCGCTTCCTTAGCTCCTAACACCGTTAACGCGGGGTTAATTGTAACAAAACCAGATGATGTCATATCGTATGTACTCGGTTTATTTATGATTAGTAAAGATACAAAAAAGTTGTTCTTTTTACCATATAATACTGGCAACGGGTTAGATTTTCATCCTAACTTCATATATTATAATTTTTCAATTTTTGACGCTGTGTAGAAACTTTCTGTGATACGGTGGTCAGAACCGGGACGTGGTTTCCCTATTTCGTTAAGGAAATTTTGCTGGTTTGCATTTTGCGTTTTTGTTTGCAAAATGTCGCGGTAAGCAAGAGTCGCCACCGTCTTTTATTTTATCCAACAAGGAAAGGAAAAAAGCATAGAAAAATTCCTTTTTCGAGATATTTCTGAGTACGGGGGGTAGATTATAGAAATGGAAGGTATTAGCACCCTTTCTATCCGTAGTTATCTACGGGATCTTAGGTACTTGCTCATCATTTTCAAAATTGTTTTCTTTGTGTTTGTGGGCTTTGAAAAGTTTTTATTTTAACTTCGATTTAACTCTTGCTTCTGTCTTCAAGAGTGTAATGAAGTGTTTTTGAAAACTTGTTTGTAAAAGAGTGTAAGTATGAAAAATAAGTTTGTTTTGGATGAGCAAGTATCTAAGAACTAATCTACCTACTCGAAAAAAGAACTGTTCTATGCTTATTTCCTTTAGACAATGCTATCCCACTATTAGTGAGTGGGTAGCACTGTCGTTGGAGTTTGAGGGTCAATTCGAAAGGGACGTACAATCACTAAAGCAACGTTAGGACGTATTAATGGTAACCCTAATGTCTTAGATCATTTATTCGAGGCAACGATATTCGAGGCAACCTTTCCGAGGCAACTATGATCTTTTAGACAAGAGGACGACCTCTAAAACAACCTATACTCAATGACCGTTTTACGAAGGCAACCAAGTGGGAGTGTACCCTAGGAGTGCGCATGTGCGAGTGTTTCAACTTCATATTATTTTTATCTTTGCACAATTAAGGGTGATCTA